ACAGGAGAGTGAGTGAGGGTGCATGTAGATGTTGTAAGGAGACAGGAAGCAGAAACGCGGGGCTGCACGAGACAGGAGGGAGCATACAGAGAGCTGAGTGGGCTGGCATGTGCCAGGGTACTGTACGTGTCCTCTTTTAAGTAAATCCATAGCTCCATGCTGGGTATTGAAGCCACAGTATGGAGACTTTAGTAGTATGACAAACGGGCAGACAGAGAGAAAGAGGCCAGCCATCTTCGTTTGTGTCAGCTATTTATTACCAGGCAGGTGTAAAGGCAGCACAGATACCATTTCCTCGTAAGGCCAAGTCCACAGGAAAAGTGTACTGACATGGTGTGCACACTTCTGAATTTTCTGTCTTATGTTCTTGAACCTAATTCAAAAGCAAAGAATATTCTGTGGGATTTAAAGAGGAAAGCAGTAGTTATTTAACTGGTAATTAAAATTTAACTTATTCCCCCCCCCAATAGTGCTTTCCTTGCTGTGCTGAACTGGGATTCTAAGTGGCAACTCCTGTTCCAGTAGTAATTATTCAATGCGTTTTTACCCATTTACTGCCTAGGTGAGTACCTTGCAAGTACCCTGAGTTCAGGGCTTTCCAGCAGAATTAAGTGATCAGGAGCATAAAGAGAGAACCATGTCCTCATGTGTTACATCTTAAGGCCGAGGTGTTGCAGCTGGGTGGGACAGGCCAACACTTCTGCCTTGCTAACAAACAGCCCCGTGCCGACCTTTTGGGTGTCTTAGCAGCCAGGCCACGAGGAGGAGTGGAAAGGGGAGGGGGGGGAGCCAACAAAATTAAAAACTTGAAAAGCTTAACTCAGGTGCATCAAACATCCAAAACGGTGAGATTTGCTTTTAAAGAAGTTAAATAGCATGGAAGGCACCAGCTTCCATCAGTACTTTCTGCTGTTAAAGTCTCATTTTCTTTCTTGGCATCTGTGGAAGACGAGAACTAGCCCTGGGAAGGAGGCGCACACACCAGAAGTGTCTGGCAGGTGGAAAGGAAAGCCACAAGACAAGCTCAGGAGTAAAGTTTGTTTTCCTCCATGTTTTAATTTGACAAAAGAGGATCCATCTCAGGTTGGTCATCATGGGATGGTAGCCGTGTTACAAAAGCTGTATGTAGGTGGATGTTTTCTGGGAATGCCATTCACCACTTAGAGGCTTTGCTTCCACAGTTTTAACTGAAGCTTTTGAAGTGCAGCAGGGTAACTGGGCTCCTGTAGCAAACTATGGAAGTTCAGCCTATTAAAAGCAAACAAACAAAACTATACTGACCTTTTTTTTTCTTCCTTTTTTTTTTTTTTTTTTACTCGAGTGTGCAAGCTTTATACACCAAACTGCTAATGGGCAGGAGGGAGGGATTAGGTAAAAACCACAGGAAGCATCTAGTGTTTGATTTTAGGCCTCTAAGTAGCAAAGAATAAAATAGCTGTTACAGCTTTTTAAGCTACCCCACCTATAAAAGTGTGGCTCTTCTTGATTGCTGGTGAGTTCAGCCTATTTCTCCTCTCGAACCTGGTCTCACAGTTTGCAGCACATGGGTGGGTCTGTATGAAGAAAAACCCCTGTGTTAAAGCTGTAAAAAAACCAACAACACCCAAACAACAAACCCAACAACCAAAACCCTGAAAATAAGTAACATTTTTATTTTCCGTGTTTGAGGAACAGTTTCTGTTCCTGGGCTCTGCCGGGGTGCAGCAGTGTAGCACCTGCTGGGAGGCCACTGGTAGCAGCTCAGAGGAAGGGAGGGCGGGATTGTCAGTAAGCTTGTCACTGCTAAGCCCTGATCGCTCTTGAATAGGCCGTAAACCTACCAAAAACCTTGTGCTAGAGCACAGTGAATTCCAGGCAGCTTCAGTTGTGGTTGAGTTCAGTGCCCTGAAGATGTAAAGAAAAAAAAAAAATCAAAAATCCCTTTACAAAATCTCTTTCTAGGTAAGCAGAGCTGGAGAAGATTGATGCAGGGACCGCCACAGGAACTTGGGTGCCATGGGCTCTCGTGGGCTGACGCCAGCGGAGAGCGCAAGGTTTGCTCGGACCAGGTCTGTTAGTCCTGTTGGCACAAAGGCAAGGACAAACGAGTGCGAAAGGGTCAGGTTCTTCATCCTTGGAGTGGAAAGTTCCGCCAAGCAACCGCTTCGGTCTTTCGGGGTCCAGCTGTTCAGGAGCTGCGGCTCGGCTTGCCTAGCTGAGGGTAGCAGAGCTGGAGTGCTCCGTGAAGGGCAGTTGGAAATTGGATCAAAGAGTGTTTTAGCAATAGTAAAATTCTGTAATTCTCTGTGCAGGAACCTGGCCAGCAGGGGAAAGATCACTTTTCACGAGACAACCAGTATTTTATTTAACGGGTTTTTGGACATTCCCCTTTACTGCTCCCAGAGAGAAATTCCAGAAAGACTAAATAAGTACAGTCAGGCCTCCAGAGTAAATCTTCAACTTAAAAATACAAGTGTCATAATTCTAAAGGGGAACAGTGCAGAAGAAAATGTATGCAGTCTTAACTACTTAGAGGTGACAAATGGCTATAATATGAAATGATAAGAGAACTCATTATATACATCTTTTTCTAATTCCTTGCATTTTCTGGACAGCTTATTAAAATACAGGAAATGTAGATTCATCTGTACAAAATTTGGAATGTTTTTTCTAAGATGAACAACTTATAGGATATGCTAAGAATTATTTTCTAACAACTGGTTTTAATGCTTTGACTTCTAGTGCAAGAGGGATTTAGAGAAACCAGAAAGTGATACCTTTCACAGGATAAAGGTCAGGAGCTCTTTTACTCTAGGACAAAAATAAAAAAAAAAAAAGAAAAAGCAAAAGCTAACTTTCTGTGGTCTTTACCACATGTTAAAAACATTCTGCATGTTAGACAGAAATTGCTCAGAACCTCCAGAATAAAAGCATACTATACACTTTCCTCGCTTTCTGTTATGCACTGTAACAAAATGTGAAAATAATGCTGTATTTAGCTGTCTGTATGTGACTGAAAATATGCTTGTATTTAGCAAAACGGTTACTATGTGATAATGTGAAATTTAAAACTTGTAAAGAAACTTTGGTGGGGTTGTTTTTTTCTCTTTCCCCTTCCCCATTCTCTATCTGTAAGTGACCTACCACCTGTACCACTTCCAGTGGAAAGCCTGTGGCCCAGCGAGGGCACGCGCTGTACATTGCTCTGAAGGCCCCGCTGCTTTGCTCTTCAGAACCAGCCAACTACCTTGCTGAGAAAAAACCTCCAACTATAGAAACACTGGCCATTGTCGAGCAAAACCAAACCGCCCTGCTCCCTGCAGCAGTAGCCAAAACCAGCCTTCGCCCCTCCAGGCGGCCCTTCTCAGCAGCAGGCAGGACTAGTGCCACAGCAGCTGAGTAAGGGAGACTTAACAGCAGAGGACAGAGCAATAGGGGACAGCGATCAGTCACAGGGAAGCTCGAGTTCTTGTCTGTGAGTTCTGTTTTGGTTTTTTTACTTAATATCAAACAAACAGAAACCCACCCCAAAGGGGAATTATGGTGGCCGCAGCCATCTCCCACCCCTCCCAGCCAGATACCTTTTGCCCCTGCTGAGCAATGCCAGCTCTAACCCTGTCCCGCCGCGCCCCAGCATTAGGTCACGGGCCGTCGCACACAGCGCTTATTTTGCTCCTGCAGAAACGCTGAACTTGCCCTTTCATTGTGCCCCACAAAGGCAGGCAATGGCCGCTTTCGGCCCAGCCAGCGGGCGGGGGGAGCATGGCTGTAGCCTGCAGGGCTCAGTAATCCAAACTGAAGAGAAAATGCCAGGAGGAATAGGGACGTGCGTGCAGCTGCCCTCCCCATCACCGCTGCTGCTCTTGGGAAGGGAGAGGAGCAGCCCCAGGGGCAGATCCCATCAGTCAGGTCGTACCTTAGGTCTAAACGTTTCTCTGCCACAGCCAAAGACACGGGGCCCAACTGCATCGCCCTGGGGGGAGGCTGGGCCAAGGCCAGGCCTGACTTGTACAAGGGTGCACCCGTTCGATGTCACCCCTGCAGCTCTCCGCCTTTTACAGCCACGGCCCTGTAAAGCCATCGCTTGTATTCGCAAAATGGGACGTGCTGGCTCACGCTCCCCCTTGCATTCGAGCCAGTACTCGCAGCTATGCTCTTCCCCGCTTCCACTGGGTTTTTTCACTTCCCTGCCCCCCGTTAAGGGGAGGGAAACATAAAGAGATCACACATCAAGAGGCATGACTCTCACACAAAGAAAGATGCACAAAAACAGGTGTTTGCCACAACTGTTTAGTTTTACTATTTTAATATCGTGAAATAAAAGTACAAAAAAATTTACAGGTATATTGTTTCTTACATGAAGATCAAACAGTTAACATTTGCATTTATTTTGCAGCGAAACCTGTATTCTCAGTCACAGAATGTGAATATTAGCCACTGACATCACCACTGAGCATTTCATTTTAGAAAGAAACTGCAGAGGTAAAAGGCAACAATCTTGCAAGGCTTCCTAAGAACCAAAAGCCTATTCCAACTGTTAACACCAGAAGTCACGCCTCGGTAAAAGCCATCCTCATCCAATACAGGTTTCACCACCTGGGAGGCTGAGAGTGTTAAGACATTGGAACTGGACATCTCGTCTAAGGGATCGTAAATAGGGGGCTCCTTGTTTACAGGCTATCGGCATTTTGGTGTCCTGGTTCGACGCATCTGCAAAAATAAGCAGCCTGTGCACACGTATGAAAAAGAACGGAGCGAGATCACCTGCAGTCTTGATGTAGCTTGTGCTGTTTACCCCGTTTACCGCTCTTTGAAGACATGTCACAAAACTGTTGTATGTAAAGTGCTGAGAGTTCAGTAACGGGCAGTTAACTAACCAGTAATCATTAAAAACAGGTTTATCCGAAGTGGATATCCAGGAATGCTTGCAGATTGGCGCTGCCAATTAACTGACTGAAACAAAATCCAAGACCTCACTGTACTTTTTCCGTTTCCTAGAGCATTACAGCCGCTTGTCTCCCCAGCCCAAGTCAACTTTAACTTTGTTGGCTGTACACACTGATGAAAATGTAAACCCCTGCACTACCTTAACCTGCTAAAATGTCAGACTCCGTTTCATACACGCCCCCCAACTTTTCAGACAAGCTTTCAGGTAGAAATTTATTTATTTATGACTGGTCTGATCAAAATACTATGTCCTTTGCTGGACTGTGTGGTGCCTTTTCAAATAATTCATTTCATGAAGCATGCATGAAACCAAATTTTGAGTTTACAAATAAATAAAATGGTGCTCACCATTAGTTTTTATGTATTTTACCATTTACTGAAATGCTTAAAGTAACTCAGTCCCTTAAGAATGAACTTGGGGGTGTTTAAATAAAAAATATTTGGAAATTGAAACCACATTTAAAATTGGCAAAACTATGCTTTGTTTTTGGAAGGGTCTTGCTTGTTTCTTCTCTTTACATCCCAATTATAAACTCTAGCCATATCTGAGGGTGTGGAATTAAGGAAACAGCTCATGCATTCAGAAAAGATAAAAAAGGGAGAAGCAGGTTTTACAGTTGGCCACACTTCACTTACGTGTAACAGTCAATACAGAAACCATTTGATGAAAGAGCTGACTTGCTGCAAAGCCTTAACACACAGGAATACTAGTAACTGGTAATAACTGCAGCATTTACACCATTTACTTAAAAACCTCCAAAAAGATATTACAAAGAAACACACTGTCAGTTTTACTACAGCTACCCTGTTCTGATTTCAGCCAGCCTGCTGGTATCAGCTGTATTTGCCTATTTCAGGCATCCATACTGCAGGATGTTAAGTATCAACTTGAAAAAACAACTAGTTGTGCCTTCATTTACTAAATCTAACGCTTCCGTTGACGGCTATCCTCATCATTACAACAGATTTTAAGTATAAAAAAACTACCAAACCACACCCCCAGAGGTGGTTCATCATAGCATAAAGAAACAAAAAAGAGGGGAAGCGATGCCTAATAAGGTAGCACCACGCTTGCTGCAGCCAGGTGTGCTGCTTGGAGAATATTGCGATGGCGGCTGAACCGGGTGCGATCAGCGACAGCCCCAAGAACAATATCCACACGTTCTAGAGAGGAAGGAAGAGTCGCTTCGCTCTGAAACGGCCACCTGGCTGTCAATCCACAGCACCCATCCACACTTCCAGCTCCCTCCCAGTCTCGGTTTGCAACCACTGCAGCCGGTTTCACAAGGACCCGATCACAAACACGAGCTTTGCTACATCACACACACCGATCCTCACCGTGGCACCGGAAACAAAACATCCCATTTCATTGCCAGAAAAGGTTGGCTTCCTGAAGAGCTACAGAATTTTAAGGGCAGCCAGTCAAAGATAAAAGCATGTTGGGAAACTGGTAGTTACCTGTATGTTAGCTTTCACATACACCTCTTCCCCGCAAATAATAAAAAAAAAGGATACTGACTTCTGTAGTGGTGAACTGATCTCTAAGAAAATCCAGGTCTTCCTCTAGAAGATCAAGGTTTCTTGTGGCTGTTGACAAATTCTTCTCTAACAGAGCCTGAGCTTCATCAATATCATATTCAAGCATCACATTGGCCTAAAAGAAGAAAGATTGAGAAAGGTTTTTACTCTTGTGTTGTAAGGAATAACCCACAGCAGACTTATTTCAGGCTGTTGTTTATAACCTATCACATCAACAAAGGCTGTCCTGACAGGCCAAGCCAACAAGATTCAGGACGAGCAAGGTCAGAATCTGCTCGAGGCCTCCACCACTTCAGTAACTGAGTAATAAATCCCTTTAGTGACTTAAAAAAAGTTCTCTTCCTACAGCTAAGCAACAAGGGATTTCTCTCTCTGTGGATTGCATTCAGCCTTTCAGGTATCAGTATCTCACCCCCATCATATTTGAAAAGCGAGAGAATTCATGTTTCTTAGCAGCACCTTTCAAGTGCCACACCGCTCTAAGAAACAATTTTTTTTGCATTCAAGATTAACGTTACGATCTCTATGTGGGACGCTGACAAACAGCCTAATGGCACTGGTCATTAACAAGAAGCATCACAGGTATTTAAAGATACAACATGCATAAAAGTCCTGTCCTATACCATGGTGGTCTTTAATCTACAAATCTTTATTTCAGTAAGAAGCTACCACATGAAGAGATAAAAGAGCAGTATGAAGTGAAAATGCACCAATGAAGCTTTGTCCCATTCAAGAACTGTGCGTCGAGCAGAGCCACGTACCGCTCACTAGCCATGATCCCAGGGAATGCTACACAGAGCTGCAAGACTGAGATAAGCCATTCTTCTTTTAAAATACCTGGAAGACGTAGTTTCCCCAGTAATAGTAATAGGCATAGCCCAACATGCAAACTGTAAGCAACAAGGACGATAAAGGCAGAAGGCCAAGAACACCTAAATATAATAAACCGCTCGTGGCATTTCATTATAGCTTTTCTGTATGAACCATCAATAGGATGAACTTTCTCTGACATTCTGTCCCAAAATAAACCTGGGATGCTCCATGAAAGTCAATGTTGGTGAACTGCGATGACAGTCTCCTGAAAGCAACAGGTGTCAGACAAATCTTCTCTTTTTATGACAGAAAAGAAGTGGGAGAGGCTGGGAGTAACCGCCCCATCAGTCCAGAAGCTGCACATGTCAACAGTGTTTCTGTCTGAACCAAGAGGTTTTGTTTGGCAGCCAACACAGGGATTTGGGAATATCCAGGATTTACAAGTCTCAAAATAAGTATTAGCAGGTTATCTCCATGTATGAGGAAGCCTCTGAATACAAAATATCCCAACCTGGTATCACTTCAGTACTCAGAAACCTGCGATCTGAGCTCTGATCCCCCCAGTCTTTAGCACAAATTTCACTCTAATGCTGGCAGGTATCTGCAAGTAACAGAAATCCCATCTTTCCCTAAAAACATGCATGAAAAGGGAAAGTAAGATGCTAAATACAAATAACGTAGAGAAGATGGGAAGCTACTTGCCAAACTAAGTTATTTTGCTGGGCACATTCCCCCCCCAGACAATGCTGGATGGCAATTTGAACCACAAAGTGATAGAAGTGACAAGGAAAACATTCACGAATATGCTTTTTGGAAAGAACAATCCAGCAAAGTTAACATTCTCTGAAGTCTTACTGTTTTACTGTTCAGACACCAAATAAAACCAAACATGAAACCCTCACTAAACGCGCTGAAATTGTCTTGTTCGGTTTGCCCTGCTGACAGGACACAGCTCCATGATGCACACATGAACAGAATCATGCCCGTAGTCACTAGAAGAACAAATGAGACAGCAACACTGTCTTCTATAAGTTATTTAAACAGTTTCAGAGAAAATTCCATTTTACTTACCCCCAACCACAAACAAACTTTATCTGTAGGAGGAACTGAAGCTTTGCAGTAGAGATTATCTGCCAATAAAAATCTGGTTTCCATTGGATTTGTGGAATCCTTAAGACAAATGATAAAACTTAAAATGGCTATTTTCACTGGAAACTTATGTCAAAGACATAAAACTTACAGTAAAGAGCACACTTTTCTGCTTTTTGCCATCGATACAGTATTAACTTCGGTGGAACTCTATGTAAACTTAATTCAACACTAAAGTTAGAGCTCCAAGAATAAAGCATTTTAAAAAGATGTATTTAAAAACAATACAGAAATCTCTATAAAGAATAGAGATGAAGTCAAAGCTTAGCTGCCATCTATACACTATTAAAAGTGAAGTTTGCATTACAAACATTAACTGTTTTTGAACTAGCTTTCAAAAACTACTACATACCTTTAAAAACAATTCTGTTATTTATAAAGGCATATTAAGTGTGCTCTCCAAAACATTTCTTGCAATGTGTTCTGTTAGGGTGGAAAGGTAGTTAGCTTTTCTCATACTCATTAGATATTCAAAATAGTTTACCTTTTTCTTCTGCATGTGTTTTAAAATTTCTAATGTCTGTTTAATTTCAGGAATCTGACTTTTTAGCCTGTGAATTAACAACAGTCATAATTTATTATTTTACAGAGACACAAAGTTTCCTAAACAAGTGATCAGCTTTACTATACAATCCAACCTCCATTTTAAAAAGTGAAACTCTAACAGCTTTCCAGGCTTACAAATGCAGATTTGAAAGATATGGCATGTAAAGGCATCTCAGCTACAGCTTCACCTGCCTCTTACTGTGCTGAGGCTGATCGGTTTTCTGAAGCAGAGCAACACATACAGCTTTCAAACTGGAACAAACACGTATTAACTGCAACGGACACCTGTTTGCTAAAATGGTGTATTTTTGCATATTTCTGATCTCCCCGGAGGAGAAGGAAACCTCAGCAGAAATACAGATAAAAAACACTGTACGTAAAACAAAACAATTGCATTTCTTCTGAGGTCCACAAACTATTCTAAGAGTTTAGAGCTACAAGCCTTGGCACTGTTAAAACACAAGCTCTCTGCAACGCCCAGGGCATCCCCCTCCTCGACAGCCCTTGCAGCAGCCTAGCAGAGATGCTGGCATCCGCCCGGCCTCCCTCCTCTGAGACCAGCAGGCTCAGACAGCGGCGGCTGCCTCCAGGCGGAGATTATGAGGGGTATTTGTCCATGAAAGAAGTTTAGTCTGAATAAAAGATTACTTGAGGCTTTGATTTTAGCTTCTAAAAATTTGCTTCTCGCCTAGCTCCAGATCAAGGCCGAAGCTACTGAAGAGAGATGAGACTACCACACCAAAAGTTACAGGCTTGATACAGCAGCCATTTGACAAAAATGTATTCTTATTTATACTAGGCTGACAAAATTAAAGAGACTATAGCAGTACTTCTTGGCCTGAAAGGCTAAGGACCAATTCACCAATACTGTAAATTCTTTTGCATGTAATTCTCAGGAAGAGGAAATTAAAAAAGCTGGGCTTTCCTGAGAGTACTGCAAGCATTAGCTCTCCTAACATCAACTTTTTACTTCTCGGGATACTTAAAAAACCTAGACTTATTTTTAAAGAAATAGAACTGTGCTAAACATTTCCCAATTCTGCAAAAATGATGACTTACCTCCTTTTCTTTTGAGCAAGATTAAGTTCCAAAAATTTATACTTCTGATACTGCTCATCCAACTTCTTAAGAACTACATCTGCTGTCTCATTTCCAGGCTGTTTCATAAAAGAATCTACATCTTCCTTTAAGGGGAGAAAGAAACCCTCAATGTTAGAAGAGTTTTACAGAAATCCTAGATACAGTCATGCTATCATGTTACTGCAGCTAAGTCTAGAAGGGGTTTTATATGTAAACAACCTTCTTTTTTCTTCCTGAAGTACAAAATCATATTGTTTCCTTCCTTAGTCACCTTTTCACTTCCCGCCCCCCCTCCCTTTGGTAGGGAACGAAGGATAGGTGCAAGGATTATTTTATAACCATACTTGCCAGTACCTTGTTAAGTGGTGCTTTCAGTCCTGGCCGATGTCAAACGACACCTAACGGGGATGGATATCCTCAGACCACGGCTAAACTTTGGTTTCCTATCTGTAAAGCAGGGATAATGCTTCTCTGGGGCTAATCAGATTATGAACTATTTAGGATAAGACTGATGAAGGAAACAAATCACGGCCTGATCAAGCATGTTGTGACAAAGAAAGAGGCAAATGAGGGAAAACTGTGGTATCTGCTCAGGCAGGCTTTATGGTAGTAAACAGTTTGTCTTCAAAAGCTCCTTCTGCAGCCAGGAGGAAGCCATGGAAACCTCTAGAGAACAATTCCAGCCAGTCACCATCAACTGGAGAAGTAGCCAGAGAAGACAGGCCTGAGCAGGCCAGGATGCTGACCTCCGCAAGTGCCTCCTTCACACTCCCAGGAAGCAGTTCATCTGCCTGCGGGCAATGTTTTCAGCCTTGGGAAAGGCATGTCAGGCCAGATGTCAAGCACGTGCTTCTGACCTTGACAACATTCACCTACATATAATTCAAGATGACCACACTTGTCCACTGTGGCAATTCTGTCCTTATAATAGCTCTGTAAAACCTGATGGAAGCCTACCAAAGGCCTCTTCAGCTGCTCCTTTTTAACTAGGTGTTTCCATTCCAGTAGTTTCACACCAGAAAGAGACTATAATACATTACTAAAGTAATAACAGACATATAGCTGGTTCCCTTCATTATGATGCCTAAGCTCTCTTGGCTAAAGAAACTTACTATGAAATTACTGAACCCAGTAAGAAGTCACCCACCTTCCTTATCATATGGAAATCTGCAGTAGAAATAGGAACTCCACAACAGACTTCAGCAGGCAGCATGATCCAGGTGGTACAACAGAACTCAAGAGACCGTGCTTCAGACTAACTGCCTGAGGAACGCCTTAAGCTACCTCACCGACAACAGAATGAGAAGCACCTCTGCCTCCTGATGAAGCCTGTAGAGAAGCTTTAACCAAAGAACCCAAGGACAGATTCAGGCAAGTGTTGTAGAAATGAGGCCTGAGGATGTTCTGAAATGAAACTCCCTCTTGTGGAAGCCATTCTGCTCATGTAAAACACCCAAGACAGAAAGAAAAAGCAGATGGGCAACAACCTACCCCACCCACTGCCCAGCACCCCACCTCTGCCTCAGCTAATGTCTGTTTGTACAGACAGACCCAAGTCCTCCTGAAATGAAGATGCTGAGAAGTGAATCCAAGCTGCCAGTATACTGGTGACCTCCTCCCACTACATAATGCCCCAGAGTCCAAAGTGGGCTCAGATTTACCACCCAGGTTTTCCAACTACAACTTCCGAGTCCCACTGTTTGGGTTTTTGGCCCATGTTGCCCAGGTTGTCACTTCTTTGAGCCTGAACAGAGATGGGCGTCAATGCTATTAGGACCCCTGCTTCATGGTGTGTCACGCAGTATCTCAACTGCAGAATTACCTTACCCGTTCCGCAAGGACCTGCCAAAGCTCATCTCTACCTTTTTAGGAGGAAAATTCACTGGCAAGACACCACTGTTGTATACCGTAAAGGCAACGTAGTCTTTGCAAACTTCAAGCCAAGCCACACGAACACTCTGTAAAAGCCCTGAAATAGAGCAGGACAGCACACTCCTGTGCAGCCTTATGTTTATCTTTTGAGTGATGACACAAAGAGCTGCAGGCCCTTGCTCTGCTGCTGTGGAGAGCCATCATCACCTATGGGCATATACAGAGAACAGGACAAAAGAGACACGTTTCCAGATTTACATCCCCTGTCCTCCCACTCACACGCATGCTAAGGAAGGCAGAATAAGGAAGGCATTGTATTCGGAAACATCTGGACAACAGCTCAAAAGAAAACAGAGTTGAAAGTTCTATTTGGAATGCTTTATAAACCCCAGTGAAACCTTGAGTTAGTGCTTACTGTCACTTGAAATGCAGAGAGGCACAAGAATCAACAGATCAATGCCTAAGAAAAGGCATCTGCCACAGACTGTCTGAAGAGCCTTTACTGAATCAAGACACTTAAAGAAAACATCTCTGAAGACAAGGTTCACAGTAAGACTGGCCATGCGGCAGGTGGCGGGGGAATGTCAAGCAAGTGATCAGGAAGTCTTTATCATTGTGATAACATACAATGTTTTTGAAACAAAAACCTATTTTCTCAAAAAAAAAACTGTAATAAAAACCAGCCTTCAGACACCAGTGTTTTCACTTCGTGGAGCAGAATACCATTAAAAATTCCTTAGCATATACTTATTTTGTCTATCTTAACAACTATATCCAAGTACTCTACGATCATCATCAAGGATCTTTTCTGCAGAGACATCTGTATTTGATCAGAGCACTTCTCAAAACTGAGAATTAGGAATCTTCAGTGGGTTTTAGATCCAGACCTAAGGTTACAAAGAATTGAACAGAAGCACAAAACTAAGCCACAACCCCCAGAACTCCCCCAGGTCGCATGGTACAGCACGTGAGATACTTCAGACGCAAGTATCAAAAGGGAACAACGTGGAACCAACCATGCACTGACAGCTATCAGCATGAAAATGAGGGATGTGACAGACACCCTCAAAGTGTTCGCTGAGGATGCTTATTTCCTGTTCCCTGCCAGGGTGGCCACCTCCACTGTAGAGCCAGCACAGACTACAAGTTCTTCTCTGTCACGATGATCGAGGTCTCGCAGGGCAGCTGAAGCCAGGGCCCTTTCCTTTTGCTTGTGTCTACATTAGTTTCTCATAAGGCGGTGGAAGGAAGTTGGACACAGGCAGCAATGCGTTTAACATCCCAGTAAGATCTGCCAGATCCCAACAATCATTAAAGAACCTTAAAGAAAAAGTAGGGTCTGGATGCACTGAAAGCAAGCATACCGTACCCATTTGTTTACACCCTATGTTCTAGGAAGGCATGTATGTAATACAAGCGCTACACTGAGAAATACCGAACTGCAAGTCAAATCAATTTATTTCTGTAAGAGCAGTCATAGCTGATCAGTCCAAACAGTTCTGGTAAAGACATCAAGACAGATATGTGAAATAGAGATTTCAAAGTTCAAGAAAAACTCAGTAATAAAGCATTCAGGGCAGCCATGCGATGTTTCAAGATGACACTGAGGCCGCTGGTATAGCCAGTTTGATCAATACTTATTGATCAAACGAAATAAAGTAGCAATCAAGACAGCACACCAAAAGCTAGCTTATAGCAGAAAGTGAACAACAGATAATTTTGACATTACATCACTGCGTAAGTTGATGAATTTTTCTTTTCAAGGAGTCAACAGAATTATTAATGCTTGGTAAATCACTTTTTAAAGTTGGATAAACAAGTTCAGCCTGTTTTCTGAAAGACACGTGTTTTTTTGTTTCTGAGAAGTCAGGAAGCCTAGCTGGACACCGCAGTCGCGTCTGAGAGGGATTCTGCTCAACAGCCAAGAGCTAGACTATGAGGGAAGATGCAGGGAAAGGCACTAGGAGTGCCGTACGGCATTATCTGAGATGAGACACAAGCGGCAACGCTGTGCTCTGTGCAGGAGGAACCCCTGTAAGGAACCATGGCTTAGTATGTACGACAGGAGAGTTCACTCACAACATGCTCTTCATTGGCATGTGAGTTGGCCAGTGAAATAACACGATAGTGATTAAAACGGGGATTTGAGTTTGCTGTAAAGCGTATTAATGTTTAATAACGCCAAGGCAGAAACCAAATAAAGCAACTCGGCTATGAAAATCCTCAGGACTAAGGCACCCCCCGCCCCGCCGGGGCACAGGGCCCTGCTCAGTTAGCAGGAAGAGAAGCGCTCCGGTACGGGGCTCTCAGGCCGAGACCTTGGCGCGGC